AACGAAATTTGCTGAACCATCATTGACATTTACGAACATTCAAAACATTTCCATAAATTTCTTTAATATTCTTTTTGGCTACAGAAGCATTGTTTCCCTTCTTGTATTCAAACAGCATTACATGCCAAATGTGTATCTCATCATAAGCCATCACTAAAAGGAATTAGAGTATACTAAACTTTACACATTATATAGGCTACACTAACATGACATTTAGGCAGTTCTTTCAACTATTATATGTGATGTTCGCTTTTTTTGGGAGGTGGTTAATGAAAGTGTTCCAAAATGCAACATTCATTTCTTGATGACCTAATACATACAAAAATCAATACTTAATAAAAGACAATACATGACAAATTTTTTATTTCATTGTTATTATACTTATAAAAGTTAATTAATTCAGTGTATGAAGTTAATGAGAAGCTAGGAGACATCAATCCTAGCAGATTTTGGTTTATTTGCATTAAAATATGCACATTTCTGATGTGAAAAAACAGAACTCAAATATTATCAAATGCATTGCTGTTATGCTAGAACACTTTAGAGGGTATTTCTAAATATCATCTTTCTTAACAGCTGATTATGTACTGAGAAAATATGGTTTTCTTGATATTATGAAAAGGGAGTTTCAGTACACAATGTACCATCATGCTACTCACTTTATATGAGCAATCTGAGTCTGTCCAAGTCAAATTAAAAATGTATTTTTTTGAATGTACAATAAGAATATTTTTAAAATATCACCTGACTTTTGGTGGGAATTATATTTGGAAATATAATTACAAGATGATTTGTAAAAACTTGTGTATTGTGAAACTAGTTAACTGTTTTAAGTAATAGTTTTCTCTATAAAACAAAGAATCTTCCTGAAAGAAACATATTCAAGTCTAATCTAATATGCTGAGAAAATAATGCTATCAGGTTGTGTTCTATTTACTGAATTTGTCATGGTATATCTTAATGTTTCATTGTCTAATTATAGGATGAACAGACTGTACTCACTTCCTCGAGGGTTTGGTGCTTTTCCCCAACTTGAAGTTCTTGATCTAACTTATAATAACTTAAATGAAAAAACTCTACCAGGCAACTTCTTTATGTTAGGTATGTCAGGTTCTAAAGTTACAGTTCTCGAATGTACTTGTGCAAAAGCAGCTATACTAAAACCAAATTAGTTTTAAGAGTTTCTAGTATGTTCTTATAAAATATGTAAACGAACAATTAAAAAAAAAGGTCATTGGATGGGGTGGATTATTTTTATCACGGAACACTGTGATACGAAATAACAAAACTAAAAAAAAATAAAAAATTTCATAATTTTTATTTGTTTTCAAACATCATGATTTGTGTTATTGTATCCAGATATAAAATTACATGTAAGAAACATAATATTTAAGAACAACAAGGGATCTGTTAGTACAAATAGGTTATCCTAAGCTGGGTTGTTCTAAAGGCCAACTATCTTGTTTGAAAAATAAAACTTTCTTAGGTGAAGATGACTCCTATCCCTCCAAAATTTATATTTATGCTCCCTATTTGTAATATCATCACCAGTAAGTAGAATAAAAGATGATGCATTGTCACTACCAATTCCCTTAACAATATTAAACATCTTGATTAGATTCATTTGAAATCTTTGTTTTCTCCTCGAAAACAAATTCGGAGATCTTAACCTGTCCTCATATGAAAATCTTTTCATCTCGGGTATCATCCTAGAAGCTCTATTCTAAATCCATTCCAACAATTCAATGTCCTTCTAAAGGTAAGGAGCCCAAGACTGAACATAATAGTCCAAATGTGGTGTAACAAGTGACCTATACAATGTAATTATAACATATTTACACTTGTATTCAATATTTTTGTAGATGCAACCTAACATCTTATTTACCCTACCATTAGAAACAGCACACTGTTTGAATCTGTTAAGAGACTGATAGACCAGAACACCAAAATTATTTTCTTTCAGGACAATTTCCATCAAAATTATATTGATAATTCAAATTATGATAACCCACAAGCATTATCTTTCATTCATTTTAATTAAAAGCCATCTGCCATTTATTTGCCCAACTCACCAAATGATTTAAATCCTTTTGTAAAATAGCAGCATCTTCACAGCTAGCAACCCCAAGACCTAAATATCAAAGGCAAATTTAAGTAATTGATCATTTCTTCATCATTATCATTGATTTAAATCAAAAAAGAGCAAAGGTCCTAACACTGATCTCTGAGATACCCCATTTGTAGCATTAGTACAGTTTGACTGAACTACATTTATCACAACCTTCTACTGTTTTGAATCCAGCCACTTTTCACTCCTGTGAGCTGACTTATTCCCCAAACCTACAGTGACTGTTTTTTAACAAGCATTTTATTATGAACCTTGCCAGATGTTTTCTGAAAATGCAGACACACCAAACCCCACCCTTACATGAGCAGTAACCTCTTCAAACAATGTCTAAAGATTACTATATCAAGATTCTCCCCTAGTAACACCATGTTGATTTTACAACAGAATTTAAGGTTTTTCAAATGACTTTGTAAAGCATCTTTTATCAAACTCTCAAAACTTCCCCATTTTTGATGTGAGACTAATAGATATATATTACCGAGACAGTTTTTATCACCTCCCTTGAAAGGAGGAATAACATTAGTCAACTTTCAACTACATCCTCGGCACCTCCCCACTATTCAAGGACATACAAAAATAGTAGCAAGTGGCTTATGTAACCCATCTTTAATCTCCTTCAAAACCCTTGGGAAAAAAAGCTGGCTCAGGATCCTTATCATTCTTTAAACTTCCCAATTTTTTCATAATCCTTTTTTACTGCAAGATGAAAGTGTGCTTTTGACAATTTGTAAGTTGCATTCAAAATTCACAGACAAATCTTTAGTAAAAATATTTTATTAAAAAAATCTGATTTTTTGTATACAAGAGATTTGTAATGTTTACTAAAAATTTGCCAAATTTCATGAAGATGCATTTAATAAATTTAGAATTATAGTAAACATTATTTTTCCAATATGGTATTGCTCCATTGGACCAATTCCATAAAAAGTTTGTTAACAATCTCAGAATTAATGTTACCATCTTGTTTCCATCTAGCAACTGTTCAGGAGGAGAAATATTGCTTAAATCTTCATTTACAAAAATTGAAGAAAAAGTAGAATTTAATAACCCAACCATCTCATAATCATCAGATATGAGCCTTCCCTTATCATCCTTCAAAGGCTACTCTCATTCTGACATTTTGTTTAACCCTTAGTATATTTAAAGAAATCCTTACTGTTAATTTTTACATTTTCATCCAGCATTTTTTCAAATACCCTTTTTGGTTTCCTAATTTCCCATTTGACCAAATCTCGTGACCTATAGTCCTCCAAGTCTCCCATTATAGCAGTCAATTCTAATTGTTTTGGATTTATGATGCTTTTCTTTAATTTTATCCCTGAACCCTTTGTGAAGTAGCGTAGTTTTTACTTGCAGCCACCATTTTTTTCTATAAGGAACATGTCTATCTTAAATATTTAAAGTATTAATAACATGGTCATATAATTTATTATATGTGTAATAATAAAAGAATTAATAATTTAGGGAACTGCAGCATCAACAGAGGTAAATATTCTTCCAAATAAGTGTTCAAAATGTACGGAAATCCAAAATTTTGAGGACCATGGAAAATTGGGAAGGAAAAGAACAAAAAAGAAAGGAAGAAGTAGAAAAATAGGTTAAAAAAAACTTTATATTGAATATTTGGTTTTGTTGCTGAAGTTGCACCACCATGATGATGATAATGTCAGTCAGTCAGACGCTAAAAATTTATAAAAGAATTTTAGGATTCTTTATTGCGGGTATGAGGAAAATCTGTTACTTTGAATGAACAAGTATTTGAAATAAAAAAATTTTGCTGTATTTACATATATTGTAATATCATTGTAATATATTGTGTGTGCATGTATTAACTACATTGAACTAAGTACTCTTCCTGATTGGTTTTATTAACACCTGTAGATTCAGGATAAAGATTTTAATTGAATAATAGAGGAAGCTATAATTATTTACTTTTATGCTTTAAATGTCTACATTTTAGTTTATTTTTAGTTTTCAAAGATACCATATCTACTTTTTTATTTAGAAACGCTTCGAGCACTTTATTTTGGTGACAATGATTTTGAGAGAATTCCAGCAGAAATTGGTAACTTGAAGAACTTGCAGATTGTAAGTGTTACATTTTCTTACAATCAAAGTAAAGTGTTAGTGTTCAGATTATTTCATTATATTTTGCTGAATTTAAGATATTTTCTTATTTTTTTCATATGTTGTTTCAAAGTGGTTTTCAACTTATAACTTCTGTCACCTGTTTGTCTCAGGTGTCTGATCTATGACCGTGCTTTGTTTTTGTAAATCAAAATATATTTTGCATGTTATAAAACCTGATGGAGATTTTACTTCAACGTTAAATATATCTTATAATATTTTTCAGTAAATTGATGTTGTTTTTCATACGTTTTCTAAGATATTATATTGCACTGTTATATAAATATTTATTGATTATCCTCTACAGATTTGTATTTTAAGCTTTGTTGTTAGGCCTCAATGTATAGAGATAGGCATAAACACTGCCTAAAATTGTAGGAACTGTAATATTCTTTGTAGAGAACATTATAAAAAATTTCACAAATAAGTTTGGACTGTATAACTGTGTTAAATAAGGTATAATACATCAGAGTTCATGAATATCAGTCAAAATTCAAACTAAGTAATAGAATTAGGTTGTTTGTTGTTTTCTATTAGCATTAAAATAGTACCAAGTTGTAATGTTAGTGTTAAGGACTAACTCATTTTATTTCAATGTAAACTCTTACTTTTTTGACTCACTTTTGATATCACAATAAGGCACATTGTATATTTGTTGGCGTTCTATTTTACATTAATAAAACAACACATAAAAGGATGGATGATGATGTTTACAGGTAATTTGTGGGTCATCAGTAGTCATTATACTTTAGATGTACTTCAATACTCACATTATACTTTAGATGTACTTCAGTACTCACATTATACTTTAGATGTACTTCAATACTCACATTATTCTTTGGATGTACTTGAATACTCACATTATACTTTAGTTGTACTTCAATACTCACATTATACTTTGGATGTACTTCAATACTCACATTATACTTTAGATGTACTTCAATACTCACATTATACTTTAGATGTATTTGAATACTCACATTATACTTTAGATGTATTTGAATACTCACATTATACTTTAGTTGTACTTCAATACTCACATTATACTTTAGATGTACTTCAATACTCACATTATACTTTTGATGTATTTGAATACTCACATTATACTTTAGATGTATTTGAATACTCACATTATACTTTAGTTGTACTTCAATACTCACATTATACTTTAGATGTACTTCAATACTCACATTATACTTTTGATGTACTTCAATACTCACATTATACTTTAAGTAGTTCACTTAAAATTCTGTTGCCCACATACTACACTTACCCTTGAAGGCCTGACTTTTTCAAGAGTTTAAAGGACAGTTTTTAAAGTGATACAAATAAATATTTTCTAGGCAGAATGTTAACATGCTACAAATGCTTATATCATCAATTTCATAGAAAAAAAAGTACCCATTACGTTTTTATAGTTAAGATGATTTGACACTAATTTTGAATATAAAGTGTAAACAACCATGCTTAACCCTGGTTCAGGGTCAATGGCAACCAGTGAGGTAATCAGTTCCAAAGAGACTATGACAGTACATGTAACTTAAGTGATAAAGAAATTGTTCCTAAAAAATAATAGGAAATAAACAAGGATGTATTTGTTGTACAGTTTGTTAAAGTTAATTATTACAGAGGGTGAGCTTATGGGTATAGTGAAAAATCAAGGTAAAATTATGTTTCATTCTGTTGCTTTTTTTTCATGTATGTATAGCAATATATAGAATTATCAGTCCATATTGTAGTAATTTTAAGGTGTACCCTTTCATTCTTTTATTGACTTCCATCTGGTGAATCACTGTAGGTTAACTGGAAAGAGCAGCCATTAATAAGTGGTGATCATTCTAAAATTCTTATGTTTATTAGTTTTCCCACTTTTGTGTTTAAAGTGGTTAGAAAGATGAATGTTATGTTGCTCCTCCAGTAGCACAGTGGTATGTCTGCGGACTTGCAATGCTAGAAACCGGGTTTCAGTACCTGTGGTGGGCAGAGCACAGATAGCCCATTCTGTAGCTTTGTGCTGAACTTCAAACAAACACATGTTGTTTAGTATTTCATTTATTTATTGAAATAATCTCAAAAGAAAAAGACTTGTCTGTTTTTCAGGCTATTTTGCCATCATAATCTATTGGTATCTTTATGGACTGGATATGTAGCAGCTGTTTCATAAGATATGTACTACAGATGTTGCTAAATTTGTTGATTTTATTACCTTCACTTACTTTAGACATGGCTGTGGAAATTGAAATATTTGGTAGAGGTCATGAAGTACTAGAAAGCATTGTGGGAGTGACTGGAATAGTTCTTGGCTGAAATCCAGGTTGTCTTATTGTCAAACATGCTAGCTGGGCAAACAAGTGCTTTCCTCTGTTTGTCGAGGTTATCTGGTTTTCCATAGTAAAATTTATTTTGAAAGTCACACCACATCACCCTGTTTTGTAACTATCTGGATATCCATATTTCTATTTACTGTTGCAACCTGTATTGTGCACTGCAGCCACTTTAGCATTTTTGATATACAATGTCGTTATCGACATTTCTAGGCTATTTTTTAGAAATCAAGCAAATTTTGCAACAAATTTGTCATTCTAATTTTCATCCATTTTTTTCCTAGCACTTTGTTTGTTTTAAGGCAAAACCACATTCAGCTATCTGCTGTGTCCACTGCAGGGAATCAAACCCTAGACTTTAGGATTTTAAGGCTGTAAACCTACGGGAGACTTATTCAAGCATGTTTTATTGTTTTAGCATGTGGACAAATGGTAGGATTAGCTTTTTTAAATAAATAAAAAATAAATTTATTAAAAATTTAATTTGAAGCTTAAGTAGGATAGTCATGAATTTCAACGAAGCATTTTATTAGCCAAGAATATGCTTTGTAATTAAATATAGATTATGTAGTAAGGCTCTTAAAATCTGGTATTTTGTTGAAAGGAGTAAAGAAGATAAAACAGTTAGTGTGAGTACATGTAGACTTCATGTACGTTTTTAGAAAAGCCTTAATTTACATACCATCATTTCATATTTATTTCCTACAGTTCAAATCTGATTAATGAACTTAAAACAATTATTAATAATTTCAAAATGTAAATCACCAATGAAAATGTTGTCAGTGTATTGAATCCAAAAACAAGGGAATCTCAAAGGCTGAATCAAGGACAACATTATCAATCTGTAACATAAACAGGTTTGTTAAGACAGGAACATGTGTGCTACACTGGCTAATAAATTTAAGTTCAAAATAAACAAGTCATATAGATGAGCATTCTTTAAAGTTGGTGTTTTCGTGGTGTTTACTGGAAATTTGTTTACTTTTGTTGTTATGAAACTTGCTATGTGCTAATGATACACAACAATTTAACTAGTAACTGCAGTTTCTACAAGACTTGCACTAATCTCTGTACTCCAGAAAATGAATGTTAGTATAGAGAAGCTCTACAGTCAACTTTTATTTCATATATGAAAACCCAAAATTATATTTAAAAGCATATTTGTTACTAGAGATGTCTTTAAATATGTAATATCAAATCCTGCAGAGTCATGAATATTGATAGCAGTGTTTGAAGCCATGTGTTCCAGCTTAAGCAAAAAAATGCATAAATTTATGAGTTCTGATAGAGCTTAAATTGTTATACTGACACTCATATTGCTAATTTTACTTGATACAATGATATAATAATAATTTTTAGTATTGCTGATGTTTAGAGTTTGTTTTACTTATTTAGAATTTTGTATATATTATTATAAGTATTAAACATTTATGTTACTTCTACTTCATCATGAACACCACTAGAACTCAGTAAATAGTTTCACCACTTCAACTGTACTGCTAGTTTTGATCTCAGATGTTTAGATCTCAATAAAAAATGTTTTAAAATGTTCTTTTAGTTAAACAATAGGCATGTTTAATTACACATAATTTAGAAATGATGGTGTATAATGAAGTTAAAATATCAAGTATAAATTTCCCACTTCACTTACAGTAAATATTTGTTATATTTCATTATCTGAAGTATTAACATTTTTTTAACTACACACACATATCAGTTGAGAATTGGAAACAGTGTTCAACTATACTGTAGTGATTTCTTTTTTCATAAATATAATTGTTTGATTGTTAAAGAATTTCATGGGTCAAGCTAGAAGTCAGATACTTCTATATATTACTACAATGTTCTGTTTATTAGATATAAAATAACTTTAAAATATCTAAGTAGATGATGGCTAGTTATAAAGTGATTTACATAAAATTACATTAACTCAACTAGTACAACTGTTTGTGCCAAATATGAACACAGTTTCTAAGCATTAGATAAAAGTAGCAAAGTTTTTATACACCACATTATTTTTAGCATGTTTTCTTTATATTACGTTTAACATTGTTATATTTTCATGGACAGTTCAGGTACTATTTTATTATGTAATCTGTTATTTTCATAAATATTAGTTTTTGGTTGTACTGTAGGAAAATTACTGCTACTAACTCGACACAAGTTAAACGATAATGTGTCTCATAAATTGTCAAAGATGTCACTCCTCTAACATTAGAAAGTAGGGGTGGCTTAATGAAGTGTCTTTGTTAAAAAAATGTGCTAGGGAGAATTGGAGAAAAAAATACAGGCATCTTATACTAAGGTCACATTTTTCAAATAAATTTATTGTATGAGAGTAGTTAAAGCTAACAGCTAGTGTTTCTGTGTTCTTTAAGTAAGATATAATATATTGTTTATTATTGTTACTTTCATTTGGAGCATTGTTTACATTATTTAGTATGTTGAATCTCACTATTGTTTAACTTTATTTATTGTCTATTATTATTAAATTTTTATTATAAAGATTGTTTTGCATTGTTACTTTAATATATGTATTTAGGACTCATCTAAATCTCTTACAGTAGCTGAACTTTGTGAAATATTATTGGAATTATAGCTCAAAATATTGTTAACAGTAAGGTTACCCAACTGATAAATAATGCATTCTAATCTTTATAAATAGAAGAGTAAGAAAGGTATATTTAATCAACTATACTGAATGGTAGGTTGATTTGTAGTACATAACTTGCTCTAACTGGAAGGTAATGTTAATTAGTAAAGTATTGTAAAGAAAGAATAACACTTTTTACATAACTTGCATATTAATAAGGTTAATGGAATTAATATTTTATGTGAAAAATGGTTCTTGTCTGACTGTCAGTAATATTTGTGAGCTATTGAATATCTAATAGTTGAATGTAAAAATAACTGTCACAGTTATGATGTGATCTAGATATATCTAAAATCTAGTTTTTGATATTTATTTTGCTCATTGAAAGATTCATATAGACACCAGACAAAAACCACAAAATTGTTTTGGGGTTAATATAAGTTACTCATATATTTATTTTAAGTAATTTTAATGTTGTTGTAATTTCATTTACATTAATAAATATCAAAATGGAATAAAACAAATTATTATAGTAAGTACAGAATGAATGGAAATGTGTCCACTTCTTAGCCTTTAGCTTCTTTCAGTGGTCTCAAATCATTTGACTCTGATAGGTATGGATCCTATACAATGTTACATATAGTTCAACTATACTAACAACGTACTTAAACAATTGATATAAAATGAACTGTATACACCATTAAAACTTACTAAGACTGTAGTTGGTTGCAGAAAAATAAAGGCATGATTTAGGTTTTTAAGAGTCAACTATAAAATTTCTTTTTTAAATACAAATGTATAATCCTTGTTTTTAAACATGATTTGTTTTAATTTTATATAAAGAATTGTACAAACAAGTTGTAGTGTCATATGATACAAAAATCAGTAAAATACATGTAGAGATAACTTGAATTTTGAATTTAGTAGCAACTTAATTAAAACATAGAAACTATGCCTAGCAGGTTTTCAATGGAAATATTGATATCATCATAACAACAGGGAGATATAACATTTTGGGGGGGGGTTCTTAAAATAGATTTTAATGCTTATTTGTTAAGGGTTATTATGTTAGTAGTGATGGATATACTATGTTCTCTATAATATGTGGTATTTTTCAAATATAGAACCATTATTTAATATAAAAACTAGTGTCTACAGTGAAATATGCTAAATACTGTAATGTTTTCTTAAATTAGAGTCCCTGTTTTTTTGGTAGTTGAAGAATATAGTACAGTAAACATCTAGAAACTTTGACAAATTTAGGACACATTTTAATAAGTTAAAAGTTTTGGGGGGATGTGGAGTTTATGTTTTCATGTCTTTAAATATACATTATATCTTTCTCACTTTTTTCATAGTTTTTAAAAAAATTTTTGACGAGTTTTAAAAAACTGGTGTATTTATGTAACATTTGATAATTTTTAAGTTTTCATAAACAATCAGTGAAATTTTGTTATTTATTTGTACTTCAGTTATGTTTTAGAGAAAATGAGTTGATAAGTTTGCCAAAAGAAATTGGTCAGTTAACACGCTTGCGAGAGCTACATATACAAGGAAATGCTCTTACTCTTCTTCCTCCTGAGATGGGTAAGTTTTCATCATTCAAAGCAAGAGATAGTTTTGTTATTGATGTAAGTATCTTAAGATGCAAACTAAGGATCTTACAAGTTATTTTAATTTACAGTAATTTACTTAAACAAAAAGCTAGATATAAAGTGTGTTAAATTTCTCTTTGCCCTGGTAACTGAACAATGCACTCTGCTGAACATTGAATTCGTATTTGGAAAGATTAAGCAGAAAGAAGGTTTCTTAGTCTTGTGATGTTTATATATCTTAACAGTAATTTACTACAATATACTGAGATACATAACATTTCTACAGGTAGAGATATTGTTTAGACATATCATTATTATATGCTAAAATGTTATACAATCTCAGCTTGAACATTGCTATTTTAACATGAGTTGATTTCATTTCTCATGCTTAATTCCTCTTCTTTATAGTCTTCTAGACACTTATAAGGCTAAGTTGGACAACTTTAGTTCCAAAGATTTTTCTAATTAGCATTTTAACTAGTTGTTTCTGTGTTTTCATGTATACTCAGTTCTTCATAGTTGTTTGTACAATCAAACACAATCACCAAAACAGTAGTTACTTCTCTAATAGAATTCTGCTCTGATAAGTTAGTTTTCAAAATATTTGGCCCAAAGGAGAAGCTCTATTTACTTTGATCAGTTATATGGTGTTAAATCAGGGTAGATTGCAAAATACTTACTTTGTTAAATCTTTTACCCAAAATTGAGAATTATGCACATATTAAAAAGTCATTAGACCTCTTGTGAAAGATAACATTTATAAGTATGTGAGAAATGAGTTTGTTGAACATACTCAGTAATCCTAGTTTAATAATTAGGCTAAAAGCTGTTGCTCTTATATATCATTTACTACCAAAGTCATGTGGACATTTTATGTGACTTTCAGGCTTAGGAAGATCAAAAAATGTCATTGTTTTAGATATAGTTCTAGTGAAAAATTTAACATATTATTTGTAATGTTGGAAGATTTATCATCAGCAGTCTATTTTATTGGACCTACATGTAAAATTTAATTTAATTTTCTGAAATACTATATACTCTTTCCCAATATAACGATCATTATATTTCTTATTTATGATTGCTATTGAAATTTCTTTTGCTTCAAATATGGTGGATAAATCATTCTTTTCCTGAAGCTCATGTTTACGATTTTACAGTATTACAAATTGTAAGAAAATCATTGCTGTGTGCTAGCATTAATTTGATGACTTTCTTTAAACTTGAAGCAATGTCAGTAAGCTAATCAGGATATTCACTTAGTCATAAATGATACACTTTGAGAAGAAAAAAAAAAGAGGGTAGGATGGAAAGTAGAAATAGTGATATGAATTTTAATATAAAACATGCACCTTCCTAAACTATCATAACAATTTCTGTGTGAAACATTATTCTCTATTAGAAGAAAATACCGTGTAGTTTTCGACTTGTGCTTAAAGTAAATGCCAGAAACTGTGTAATGTAAAATTATGGGTAACGGAGACTGGAAAACTATAATTGGTAATTATAATTATATATTAATTGCCTCTTTTCTTTGCCACCTGCCCAAAATTTACATTTCAACATTGTAAAAGTGTGTTTAGAAATAGTGATTTATTTTGCTAAGTTTTATTTTAATTATTTCTGAGTTATCTCACAAGGTTGTGTTTTATACTAACACTAAAATCCATGACAGGGAATCTTGACTTGATTAGTCAACGATGCGTTGTCAGAATGGACAACAACGAATGGCTTCCACCAATAGCAGACCAACTGGCAATAGGAGTGTCTCATGTAATAGAATTCATCCGCACAGAAACTTATAAGTTGTAAGTACAAAACCACAAAGAAAATCATTTATATACACCAAGGTCAATTTCTCTCTTGTGTTGTGTAGGATGTAGGTTGAACCTCTGGAAGAACTGGATTTCAGATCTGGTGGTGTGGGGTTGAATCCATGCAATTCCCTTGATATACCAGATGTATATTAACAGCAAAATTTATGTATGTTTTAGACATTTTAGTTTTACAAACAATATGCAATCCACACATACTTTATGTGACTGCTGATGTAAAAGTAGAAAGTAAAATCCAAAAAAAATGACTTAGTACATAAACTTAGTTTACTGTTTTCAAAAGGCACCAGATGTTCATATAAAAAATATTTGAACCTTTTGCTATGGTAGACATAACCTTTAAACATTCGTAAGTACTTTGTGTAGTATACAATGATTTCAGTATGTTGAAAATAATAACTTCAGTAAGACTTTTGGTTATTACTGTTCTATATATATAAGAATAAGAAAATGCATATCTAGATATGTTTAAAAATTTATTATTCCTGCTAGCCTAATATCATGAACATAATAATTCAGTTTTCACAAGCCTTCTTAATGACTTAAACTTACTTTTGTTAGTTTTTTGGAACAAAACTTACTTAAGTTATGTATAGTTTTTACATTGGTTTCTTTTTTGAATTAACTTTAAGGAAGATAAATGCAGTGAAATAAGCAATAGTAATTACTTACTTTATGATATTTGTATATATATTCTTTAAACATAAAAGCCTCTGAGTACTGATTGGGTAGACATAACTATGCACCTTTATAAATTAAACATTGCATTTTCAGTATATATTACTATAATTACTGGTTTCTTTAAGCACATATTCAGTTTAGTTTGAAAGATAACTGCATAAGTTGTTGTATAAAATATTTAATATTTAACCCTCAACTGGTAGGGTGGGGTCAGAATGACGTACATTTATGTTTCAAGTTGATATTCCAACTCAGTTAGTGCTACTCTGTACTTGATATTTTCTATACACTATCCTCAATCAGTTCTTGAGTGTTGAGCAGTACAGATGTACTATAGCATTTCTCTTTCTTACTGTTGTAATCATTTGTTTGTTTGTGGGTCATTCTGACCACACTGTACTACAAAGATAATATTTTTGAAACTTATTACACATAGATCATTTTGACCCACCCTACCATTTGTGATACAAATAATTTACCATACCAGATGAGGGTTAAAATCCATTTTGTGTTGTTGTTTCTCTGAAGATACATTTTCAGGTTTTTAAAGGTATGTGCAGAACATAAAAACAGATTACACAGGCCTGCGATTGTTTTATTGTCTTGAAATGTTTACATGTTCTACAGTAATTTCTGAACGCTGAATTCTAAAATGATGCCCCATTTTCTCCACCCCGTACAGATTTTTCACAAAATGTCATATGTACTTTTTTCATAAGTGAATCATTTTCATTGAAATTGGGTCATATTTTTTTTATGCTTAAAATGTTGACAACCACTGGCTATAGATTTATCTAGACCACTCGTGACATGAGTCTTATCGATCGTTCTAGAACCCATAAGAAACACACATAAAAAATAAAAAAATGTTCATTATGGTAAATGAAATAATAATTTGATCTAAGTAAGAGTTTTTTTTTTAAACTTGTAAAAAATCCTTACGTGATAAAAAAATTAATAGCTAAGTAGCTAAGTTATGGGAAATCCATTATTAAAACCAAAACAACTTTTATGAAGTTTAAATTCACAGGCCTGTGTTATTAATATATTGTACCTAATTATTATACCAGGATTTAAAAAAAATCTGTTTTAAAAACAAGAAGACACAATGAAGTCTTACTTTTTTCAAAACTTAGTATTACTATTATATGTGATTGAGATTATTGTGTAGATTGGGCCTTCTTATGTAAAAATTATAAAAATTTTTACAAGTTAGTTATAGAAAATATTGTCAAAATTAACTTATATTTGATTTCTTGTTAGATAAATCAAAGAGTTTTAATGATATCCTGAAAACATGTTTTGAACTGATTATAATTGACATTTTGTTCTTTTCTTTCAGTATTTATGATCGGAATGCTCAACAAGGAAACACTGCACCCCTAAAGACTAAGGATAAAAGTAAAAAGATCAGCCGCAAAAGGGATCATAATTGATTTTCTCATTTTCTTGTGGAACAATACTGTGTTGATAATTCCTATGTTTAACATTTAAGTATACAGAAAAAATATCTCAACCATATAATTTATTTAATATGTAACCTGTGCGTCAAGTTTTTTGGTCTGTTTTAAATCTTCTTTAAAAAATGTTCACCTAAAAAATATATAGGTGCATCCATGTGTTAAATAGTTTTTTTGAGTTTATTTGTAATTAAAATACTCTTTGTTTAAGATGGTAACTAGTAATATGTCATTAATTTGAAAGAAAAGATTTGGCTACGATACCATGTACTTTAAATGTACAGTACGCATATGAGAATTTATTGGTATACTCTGATTTCCAAAGCATACACATGTTGATCTGAAAATGAGAAATACTGGACTTTATAAATATTACTATGTGTATGTAGAATTAATAAGTGCCACAAACATTGTATTTACAATTTTATACTTGTTCTTTAACTTGGCTAAAGTATAGTATATTTTTAGACACTCGTTCTGTAATATTGTTAAAGTTTGAACCTTACTGATAACGTGTATAACAGATGGTTTTTTATAGTTCACACTGTTAATGGCAAAATATGACATCTTGGTGTTCGTTAAAGGTGATATTATTTACAACCTGTCACTCTTTGTCCAGTCGTCTTGAAATTTTACTGGTTAAACATTTCTATAAAGAAAACATAACAGTAAAATCACCTTTACTTTTCTCCACATTTCTTTTAATGGAAACTTGAGCTGGAAGTTGTGGATGCTGTTTTAATTTCTCCACCAGGTGTTGTGCAATATATTTGAATTTCAGTTTTTAGTGTCTGTGGTTTAGCTGCTGTCTTTTTCTTTAGTCAAAGCTATTTTTGTATAGCCTGTAAGATACTAAAGTAAGAAAAAACACAAGTAATACAGTAAAGAAGCTTTGTGTATCTCATTTCTAGAAAATAGGAGGAAATCTGAATTCATGTTATAAAGTGGGTTTTACCTCTTTCAAAACAAACCTTGCTAACAAGCTTTGAACCATCATGATCAGGTCAAAACCAGAGTGAATGACTGCCTTATGAAAGGGTTGAAAGCATATCAGAGCTTTTCATTAGGGGCAAAAACCCCATTATATCCAATGTCAATACTAGTTATAAGCTGTATCTGTGTTTGGATAGGAAACGAGGGAATCCTTAATAGCTGCAGCTGTAATTAGACCTCTAATCGATCAAGAGTTGGAGCTATGAGCTAAAAGTTTGTACTTGAAAAACAACTCTGAACCATTCTATGAGCCGCTATGCCATGGCAAAAAAAAGATATTTGTTTAATAAGATTTTTTTTCCTTAAATGTTTATTGGTTATATTGGTTATATCCCAGTAAGGAAAAAATAATAATTTGTCAATTTGATTTATATATATATAAAATTAGAACTAAATTGTAACTTGTGGTCTTCTCTGCAAGTTTTTGACTCTTCATTATGCAGTATTAACGGTAACTCTGTAGATGTAAGTCTTGACTGATGTTTTAAACAATTTATGACATCTATTATGTTGGTTCTCAGGGTTATTTGTAACATTTCTCAATATTAGAAATTTCATTACAATTTTTTTCTACAACTTGTTCTTTTATAATTGAAAGATGAAGTATAAGACTTCCTTTTTTTTCAGCTTGTTTTTTGTACTAGCTAAGTTTTAAAAGTGACACCTGGTGGGTACCTTCCTGGCTTGCTCATGCTTATACACAACGAACCTTGTTGGATATTTAAGAATTATTGGTTTTAAGAAATTATTTTTTTTTGTATAACATAAATGTATTTTTTACCTTCCTCTATGGATTTTCATTATAATTTGTTGTTTACAAAATGTGAAACTCATTTAAATTATTAGAATTGTTAAGGTGTATGAAAAATTTAATTTACCTTGTTACAAACTTGCAAATAACTGTGAAAAGTAATTTTTTCTAAATGTTTCCAAAACTCGTTTGAGAAACATTGTGTGTATTCATTTTCAAAAAAGATAAATATTGATGTTAATTAAATTACATATGGTTGATGTCAAACATTTTCTTTTATTTCTATTTGAAACGGACACAAAATGTTAACTTCCTGTATGTGTCTATTTTAATATAATATTTTAAAATTTTTAATTTTGTCATGTGGTTTCTCATAATCATTTCTGGTATTGTCTTTTACTTACATGTAGTGTCTGTTTTGTTCTCAATTTTTTAATGTGATGCATTTATTGCAGTGTTGTTTTTCGTGTTTATAGGATGTATTTACCAATTGTAGCCCCTTGCATGTAGATTGAGTTGTGAGCCTCATTTGTTCTATAAAACAATGAGAGAGAGAGAGAAAAAAGGACAAATACAAAAAGTGCAATATATCTTACATCACTTTTACCATTGAAAAGTGTTCCCAAGTGGGACAGTGATAAGTTTACAGACTTACAATGCCAAAATCTGAGGTTTGATTCCTTGCAGTGGACACAGCAGACAGTCCAATGTGGCTTTGTTCTAATAAAAACAAACGAACAAGCATTGTAAAGTAAACTTGTGTTTACAGCTCTTTAAAAATTTACAGTGAGGTGGACTTTTGGAGTACATCAGTTTACATGAAATAAGGGTTGACTATTTTTCAAATTACACTTATTTATGTGCATTTAAATTTTTTGTAACCCTAATTTTGTGACATAACTAGTATTAACTGTTTAAGTTTTTGTGTTCCTTATACCCTTTGATTCCAATAGCTTCATGAGAAAGATACCAACTCTCTACATATGCATATATATATTGATTTATCAGTTTTAGATAACCCATTACTACAGCTTCTTGATAAAATGTAGTTAATATTGTTAACTCTTTATATACATATTTTTGAGTGTATGAGTTTCTGATACAATTTTATTACTATAGCTTTTGAATAAAATGTAATTTTTTATATTTTTTAAGTGTGATTAGTTTCTGCTACCATTTAGTTACCATGGTTTCTTGATACAATCTAGCTGGTGTTGTCTTTATATGTATTTTATATATATAAATAATTATTTTAAATGTATTTTCTGGTATCCTATGGTAACCGTGGTTTTTAACTATAACCTAGATGGTGTTAATGTTCTTGTTTTTAGTTTCTGGTTTATTTTTTATATTTTTAACAGCTGATTTGCAAGAAAAGGCACATGTTTTGACCAGCTTTATAAAATTGATTTATTGCACTAATTTATTTCAGTCTGTGACACATACATCAATTGTAGAGTGGTGTAAGGTATGAAGAATGAATTTCGAACATTTATGACACACCTTTTGGTCATGGAGCTATTGTCCTCTGATCGTAGCAGTCATCACATTCATACCAGATACAGAAGTAAATGTATGTCAGGTTATCTTTCCACATAACAAAGTATTATATGTTGTTTTGAGTTCACAACATGCATATTCATGCTAACTTTGAGGCCCGGCATGACCAGGTGGTGAGGGCGCTTAACTCTCAATCTGAGGGTCGCGGGTTCGAATCCCCGTCCCACCAAACATGCTTATCCTTTTAGCCTTGGGGCATTATAATGTGATGGTCAATCCCACTATTCGTTGGTAAAAGAGTAGCCCAAGAGTTGGCAGTGGGTGATGATGACTAGCTGCCTTCCCTCTAGTCTTACACTGCTAAATTAGGAACGGCTAGCGCAGATAGTCCTTGTGTAGCTTTGCACGAAATTCAAAACAAATAAACAAACATGCTAACTTTAACAAAAATTTGAATTATGTGTAATATCAAAATGTATGGGGCTTATTAACTATTGGAGTTCCATAATGGAGAAATTAGACTGGTGACTTGTATACTTTAGATCTCCACAGTAGGAAGTTTACCAGTTGCCTTATGTATCTATGAACCAATGAGACATTTTATTTAATTTCTTGGTATGTTTGGAACCGTTCGTCAGTGTTAGGTAGGTGTAATTCCAACCAAGTGAATGCCTCTGAAATGCCAGTTTCCTGACAGCTTTACAAAATGCAGCATCCTTGTACGCTTTGGTTGCACCTTGATATCTAACCCTTGGTGTTAACAAACCAACAGTGCTATTACTAGCACAAACTTTACATAGCATTGCAAACTTCCAAGTTTGTTGCCATGTCACTGGTCCCAGTTTCATTATGGCCATATCACTTGCAAAACCTTCCCTCCCATCTGACACTGTTCATAGCATTTTGTGCCTTGCTGTATAACATTATTCTGACAATTGGTCAAAGACCCTTGCCACTGCTTCTTCTGTTTAACAAACAGATAGGTCACATAGCTCTCTCTCACAGAAATTAATGGAAGTTTGTATTATGTTGATGGTCTGCCTCTAACTGTGTGAATGTCTGCTCAGCTAAAAGCCTGTGGGACTTATCACCCACACCACAATATTCTCTTTATAATGAAAACAATACCGAGCACCTTATTTGGGACGCATAGCCTATCTAAGTGCAAACTTGCATATATCTTCTAAGTTCATAATGTCAATCAGTCTTCCTGCTGGCAGCATGTTGATTACCCTGCAAATTCCTTACTGCTTGTATTTTTGTGTACATTAATTGTATCCATTTCTTAAGCCCTTAACTCATTTTTGACCAAAATACATGCATATAAACAAAATTTACCAATGAAAAAATCATATTTTAAATTTTTTATGCTTGTACAAGCATTGTTTACAGTGCCCTAAGTTGTTGTCAGTAGCACAAATTTTTATTCCAAAAGTTGATTTGCACCCTGAGACCATATAATAATCTTATTCTTTATTGAAAAAAACATGTGTAATTGATTACATTTTCAAAGATGAACAAACACGGGTGTCTTTTCTTGGAACGGGCTTTTAGTAATCTCTTGGAAATAATAACATCAATTTAACCTATCTGTTGGGTACTTCTTAATAACCAAGGTTTTTGTTAATTCATATGATACTTGTTTTACATGTGATGGAAAGTCATTTCTAATCAGGTGACTTCTGACTGTCGAGTATCAGTTATTTACTGTTAATTAAATCCACATTTATGAGCTACTAAGCACTCTTGTTTACATACCTGGAGCAATTTTAAGGCACTTCAGTATAAAGCTTAAAACTAATCCAAATGTTTCACACACATTTATAACTTATTCACTCTAATTGCTAAAATACTTCCAGTGGCCCAAATATTTCTACATTTTATAAGTCCTCTCCTTAAAAAAGCACTAAAATTGAAACACTTTGTTTCTGGACATATTGGAATGTTGATCTGAAGAAAATGTAAACTTTGACCTGGTTAAATAACTGATCATTTCATGGATTGATCAAGAAATCATTTAGGTAAGATTGATGTCATAAAATGTGAAAAAAGCCACCAGATGTAGATCTACAAACATATCAGGTAAAGAACATTTATGGTCTTGATATGGTAAATATTAACGTTATTGGTAATGAACACATTTTTTTTGTAAATAGAGCACAGGTTGCTTCTGTGGTAGAGGTTTGGATTTTAGAGCTGGTGAGCTAGGTTCGATTCTGTGCAACCCCCCCCCCCAAAAAAAATTCCCCTGCACTTTAAACTGTGGGTGCCTTATATGAATGACAGTCAGTTCCTTAGCAGAGGTTATGGGTGCTACTGAATGGTTGCCTTTCCTCTGGTCGGTACGTAAAAATTAGGGATAGCAGTAGATAGTCTTAGTAGATTTGCCATAAGTACAAGTACAAATTTCCAGATGTGACTGTTCCTATTATATGATCTGAAAGTTTTCTCTTATGGTCTCCCCCTTTTATATACATATAATTTAAATTTTCACTAAGTAGCACTAGACTTATCCCTAAAAAATATGTTTTTTTTTTCCTTGGAGAAACTGCTGCTGATTTTATTAACATAAGGGTTAGTTAATTTGTTAACTCAACTATCTAAAAGACATTTTTAAACCAGTGTTGTTGGTTTTGAAAGTTTGTATGTTATTAAATATAAGTTGTAACAGCCATGATATATTATTAACCCACCTGAGATTAACTCCTGGTGCTCATCTTGCAATCTACGGATACCAAAGTCTAAACCTGGTGTTAGCCATGCTCGCCTTTTTAGCTGCAGAGACATCGTAATGTGACAGTCAATCCTACTATTTGTTGGTAAAAGAGTAGCTTAAGAATTAGTGGTGGGTGCTGCTGCCCAGTCAGAAATATCAAAATTAGGGATGGCAGTAGATGAGCTTAGTAGCTTTGCCATCAACAAAACACAAACAAAGTTAATGTCTGCTACATTTAAGTTTTAGCTGCTACAATTTATTATGAGCCCAATTGATATTAACTTCAATTATATGTAGATAGAAGATACTATTAATTTTTGTATTTGGCTGAAGATGATACTGAATAATAAATAATTATTGAAATATTTTGTATTATTTGTTAGATTAAATTGTGATGATATAATGTAAATTGTGCAATGTTTTAATATTAGATGCTTTTCCTGTTGTTGCTAGACTGGGTTGTTATAATTTCTAGTAGGTCTTTAAGTTCAATGATGTATTATTATATGCTACTATTGTATTATTTGTTTCATGTGTATTTGGGCTCTGATTTTGTTATGATTATGGTTATATATAAAGATTTCTTGGAATTGCAGTTTTTTCTCCTTAATTTGGTGTTTTTAAGGTATTAAAAGAGACATGATGTGTTATTTATCTGTTTTGAAGGTAAAATTTTGTTGATTGCTAGGTAGGTAGTGGAAATACAGATCATGGTAATACAGGGTATTTTGCCAGAAAATATAATTAACTCTTTCTGGCTAGTTGTCAAAGTGCAAGTTTAATTTTTTCATATTGCACATACATGATGCTTTATTGTGCAGTTACAGAACTTTTAACTCTAGGTAGGACTTAGAATAACAATTAGATTTATTCTATGTTTGTGTAAGAACAGATTATTAGCACTGTAACAAATTTAACTTCTGTATGCCAAATGCTTTTGATACTAAACTACCAGGTGTCTTAAATAAATTTTTGAAAGTTTAGAGTTGGCTTATGGATAGATAAGATTATTCTTGCTATATTTGTTTAAGTTGATAAAAGTTTAACACGTTTCTACACATGTTTAGAATCTTACTAAAATTTAAGTCTTTTGTTCTTTTATATCCTATGTAGAGAAGTGGAAAATATTTGCAAATTTATTAAATAATGTGTTTTAAAAGTAAAAATATCCTTGAGATAACAGCTAAAGATGCATTTGCTGTTGTAACAATAAATATAGGATAAAAAATGTACTGTTACGTCTCTGTGTTCTTTTGTTAATTTTCCGTAGAAATTCTTTCCGAAGAACTTAAGCGATACAAGTCAATTCAACTCAACTCAACTTTGCACTACACTTAATTTCCAAAGTCACTTTAACTTAAACACACGCTAGAATTCACAACAATTCATGCACTTTACTTATGGTGCCTAGAGCTCGCTTGACTCAATTATCTGTCTCTATATCTCTCTGTCTGCAATTCAATTGTTCCCGTCACTTTATTTGCTGGCTTATATACTATAAGAGCGTGAGTCTAGCAAACGCTAGGATGTTCCTCGATCTTTCTAGATACTCATTACGTGTTACCAGGGTCACGTGACTTCCACTGTCTTAACACTGCCCCTTCCTTAGTATTGTTCATCCCGAACAATAGCCACTTAAATTAAACCAACAGATAATTAACAATAACTTAATTAAATGTACAGAATTTACAAATACAAAATTAAAATTCAACAAAGTCTCTTAATTTTATGGGACGTATCTTCTTTCATACTGGTCTCTGTCTCGTTGGCTTCTTCTTGTACTGCATGTTTTGCACCATTCTTCCACATCTTGCCTCATACCTATCCAGTAAAATCTTTGTCGTAGGTGACTCAATGTCTTCTTAACTCCAAGATGTCTCCTGTTAAACTATCATGGGATTGGACGCAACACAACTTCCCGTAACTTTCT